ATCTTCTCTCTCAGACATATTTTAGTAATCTCTAGCCTAAATTCTGATTCTTTTGGAGTTCGTTCTTCAGTGTTGGTTGTTGGAACTTTATTTGTTAAAAAGAAGTGGCTTCTGTTTTGCTAGTCATCTCTAATCATAGTAGTTAAGTACCACAGATGCATTTCCTAACTTTTAAATCCTTGACTTAAGATTCTTTTCAATAGTTTTTAACATCAAATATTAATTAACTAGTTGACACACTTCTTTGTCCTGCAAGGGCTTTAGACACAAACGGGTGATTTTATAGTGCCACAGTAAAAAAAAAAATCTGTTAGCCCTTCGTTACATATACACAGTATCAGGCAGTTTTAACAACTGGAGCAAAGCGAGTCCATTGACTTCGGGACTATAATGTTACAGAGTTTTTCTGTTACAGTTATCGGTCCTGTCTGTTGCTTCAGTTGCCAGAATCCGAAACACTCAGAATACATCCTAAGGAATAAAAGTAACAGTGATGAGCTTAACCCACAGCTTTCCTTAGTTTTGCAGAAAGAAACGTTCGCTACAACACTTTCCGAATAAATCTGTGTTCCTCATCTCCCCGTGATGAACTGGGTCAGGCTTTTATTTTCAGTTCTTCTCTGATGCTGCTGCTGCTTCTGAGGACTGGGACACAGTCTATTTACCCTTAGAGCAGTATTTTTCTGAAGTGCTACACCCTGGCATAAATCTTCTCACAGTGAAGTTGGTGAGAAGATTTTCATTCATTTCTAGTTCTCCTTGTTTTGAAAACTAAACTTTTTAATGTACCTTTTGTACTGTGGCTTTTGGGTTTTTTGGTTTTTTTTCCTAAGACAACATAAAGTTTTAGAAGTAAAAACAAAAGGATGGGATGACTGGAGTTGATGACTTTTACGAAAATATTTTTACTTAGTATTTTACTACTATGATCATAATTGCAGGAATGACTTACAGGTAATTGCAGGTAGATGTAGAGGAGTGAAGTCTGTAGGAAAACATGAAGAAAATAACATTAATGACTTAGAAATGGACCCTAGTCGGAATTGCAAATCCCTGGTTTGGGGGATTTTTCACTGCTGAGAATAGTTACCAGAACCCCAATTTAACAATCAAAGAAAATGTTTAGAAGATAATTGAGGCAATAGTGAACTGCTAAGAGAAAAACGCAGTTCAGCCTACAGATCAAATAGCATTTGAAACATGTTCAGAATATCTTTGCTTATTTCTTTTCTGAGTAGGTTATGCGTAAGTATTAAAATAACACATGAACATTTGGCAGTGCTTCCCTTACAAATCTATGTAATAATGCTGATTTTTGAGGATACAAAACTATGTGTCTTATTGCATGCGGTTAAAAGAGGAGGAGTTTGTCCTGCAGTTCTTATTCAGCTCAAGGGGCTCTTGATTTCAACTCTGAGCTTCTCTTGTGTTGAAATTCGAGTTAATCTCTCTTGGAAGGCAAATGCACAGATACTGGCACTTTGAAAAGTTGCTATGTTAAAAAAAGAAATGTGAAAAATGAACTAAAAGGGCCACAGTCCTTTAGCATAAGAACCGAAACTGACAACTTGTATATGCTCGTATTTTCAAAGCTGTGTTTACTGAAGGGTGAAAGTTCGTGTTACAGTGAGCTGCTGATCTCCTTCCAAACATAGCTGGAGTGTATTAAGAACAAGCCCAGCTAGCAAGAACAGATTTTTTAAATTTTTTTTTTATTTTCCAGATTGAAAGAAATGAGTAGGATTTATAATTGCAGTTGGCTGGAAGTGCCATGGGGAGATGGAGATTTAGGTATTGTATGATACTTTGTAATTTTGTTTTCAACTTCGCCTGTTAATACAGTGGATATATTTATTCTTTCTTGTTAGTGTTTACAAAGCAATGTAGGCTGCCCTTCGGAGAACTTGGAACTAATTGTGGCTTCTAAATATAGCTAGAGATACTTTGTATTCGGCATCTGTCAGAGACGACATCAGTAGGGAATTAATGCATTAACAGTTTTGGAATAGACTGTGTTTGCTAATACTGCTGTTACCGACAACCGTGAATGCGAAAATGTCCTTGTTTATATTCTTGTCAATGTTTTTTCTAGGTGAGAGACATAGCAAGTTTGTAGATTAGCAGAAGGCAGCACTCTACACAAAGAATTTACTTTAAGACACTTTACGTTTATTTTTTATACATATTTACTTTTAACATATTCTTGTCCCTGTGGTATTTAGTGATGAATTACTATGTTTCTCAATAAATCAGTTGAAATGTGAAAGTTTTGTTTTTCCAAACTTGGTTTGCACAAAATAATTCTGCAGCATTTTGCTTATAGATTTTATTTCTAGTAGAGGTGACACAAGCATTTTGTATTTAATGGATTTAGCAGAAACTGCTAGCTGCTGGATGTCTCTACATGAAGATAGGGATATCAAGTGGGTCTAGGTGCAAAAGAGAGCTCACAGTGGGATCTGGCATCATTTGATTCTCAAATGTCACTGAAGTAATTACATTAACAGGCGCTCTGAGCAAGAGGGAAGGAGGTGAAGGAAAGAAGGATGGAAAAAATGTTGCAAAGATCCTACCTGCATCTTTGTTCTGTTTAGAGTTACACATGGCTACAAAAATGTCCAAAGTGTGAGTGTATTTAATGGGCATAAAAACTTCATGACACTTACAATTTTATTAGATGTTTTTCTATGTAGTAATTAAGTGTCTTGGTTTTTTTTTTGCTGTTAATTTAGGAGTAGGGTAAACTGTCAAGAGGGGAAAGTTCTCATCTGTAGAGACAGAGGGACAAAATTTCAAAAGTAGCCTCTCAGTATAAATTCTAATTATTTTTGAGGAATTCTTTGCAGCTGCCAGCAGGAGAACTTAATGGATCTAATTAATTTGAATTGGAATGACATGAGTGCTGGTTCAGACACTACCACAGAAGGAAAACATTGGTCAAAATTCTCATAGTGATTGTACACATCCAACCTACAATAGGATAAATATATTTGAGCTTATTGGGATGACAAAGAAAATACTGATGTTTTGTAAAAATCCAGTCAATTGAGTTCCTCAGTTCCTGAGCTCAGTTTTTGTAATATAATAGGCCTTAAAATCCTAATCACTTTGTGTATGGTTTTTTTTTAGCTGTTATTCTGACTAGCAATAAGAATTGCAAAATATTACATTTAATAAACCTAAATAAAAAGCATAGGGAACGATGTGTGTGCATGTACATACATGTGTACACACAGATGATCAGAGCTTAGTGCAAATAATTCTGAAAGAGTATTGGAAGATGGACCCTGCCTATGGTCCCTCTCCTCCCAGAGATGAAAGAATACAAGGAGTTTCACAGATACTGGATACTCTGACATAATAGAAATCTCCATGCGTTTTTAAGATCAGGGTTATAGAGCTTTAATCTCCTATATTTTTCAACTTCTGTGATCAGCTTTATGTAGTCTTACAGTAATTTAAATACTCATCTGTGCTTTTGTTTTGCTAAATTCTTGATCTCGATAGCATGCAGCGGCACTGAGTTCCACAGTGTAGTTGTATGTTCTGTGAGAAGATACAATCTTACCTCTGAGTATGTTTTAGTTTCATTCACTAACACCTCTAGGAAAATAGAGGTTTTATCTCAATTTCCCTATTGTACACTATTTCATATTTTTTTAACTATGCCCTGATTTCTTTTCAGGTTGAGCAGTCTTAATCTTTTCATTCATTCTTCATGTGATTTGACGGGTTTTTTTATTGTAACCAAAAGTGTGCTTTCTGAAATCGGCTAATGGACAGAAGAGGTCCAATAGGAAACAGAAACACAGTTTCTTGAGCTTGGACTGATGATGGACAGTGATTGAGCAATAGCCTTCCCATTTAAAATCCATTGCCTTGTCACTGAAATGCAGTAACTGGCTTTGCAGGCAGTCCCAGTCCATCGCAACAAAGTCAAGCACGTTTATGCATTGGAGATTCATCTGCTGTTGTTACCATTCATCATACTTAGCTAATTCTCTCTACATTTCTTCAGAGATTTTGGGGGGCTTGATGTAACTCACGTGAGTGATTGTATTAGCATTTTACAATGCCAGTGATTTTCTTCTTACAGGAATAAATACCGGTAGTTCGTAATATATTTTGAAGATGGTTCTTCCTTGCACAATCTCTCACAACTTGACTTGCAAAATTCACACAATAAATTGGTATCAGCTATGCCTGTCTGGCTCGAAGGGACCTGTCAGTGGCCAGTCTTCTAGAGGAAAGGGCAGGTTCTTCATCGGGAGCCACATGATGACTCGGGGAGCTGGGCTGGGAGTTGAGGCGGGGTATGTGTGTGAAGGCAGGGTTGTTGCTGGGTTTCTCTTGGGGTTTTTTCCCCTTTCTTTTTTGGGGGGATAAATAAAACAAAATAAATGCCAAATCTTTACATTAAGCATATCTAACTATTTTTAGCCCTAATAGCCTATTAGAATGAGAACTTAGACTTAATATCGTATTTCTACTATAGCAGGTTTTCTTAGTGTGATTCCCACTGTATTTTTTCTCCTTACACTTGTGTAGTACCTGCAGATTGATGTCATCATACACAAGGATTTCCATATTGATTTTCACATACATCAGCCTTTTCAGGACTTTTTCAGGCGGGTTTATATCTAGTTTAAGTTCAAATACCAATTTGTTGAAGTCTATAAATTTCTATATACCAGCTGCAAAAATAAGTTATATTTATATATATGGCAATTGATCAATTTATTAAATCAGATTACTGAAAGAAGTATATCAATATTTTGTTCTCTGTACCACATAATCATTTATTAGAGATGCTTACAGTTAATAATATAGTAGTTTTTATTGTCTAGAAACTGATCATTTGAAATAGTCTCTAAAGAGGAAAAATTAATTTCATAGGACATTTGATTTCATTCTGTGCATTATATTTGCTGCTTTGATCTATGCATTCCAAAATCCTTCTAATTCATATGGTTTACTCAATAAATGTTGTTATTATATAGGTTCTTGGGCAGATCGCTCACCTCTGCATGAGGCAGCCAGTCAAGGACGTCTTCTTTCTCTAAAGACTTTATTGTCACAGGTGAAGACTGTGTTCTTAAAATTGCTTTCATTTTTAATGTTAATTTCTCAGCATAGATTATTAATGAAGATTTAGTATGCTTTGCTTTGCTTTTTTCACTTGAATTTTTCAGAGCAATACACATTTAGGAATTTTTTATATGGTAAGGTATAAGTTAATATTTAAAATATTTCCTCTGTATGTTTTAAAACTTCTCCTCCCCCAATTTTTACTAAAGCTGCATCTAAACGTATCTCAGTCTTCCCCTCTTACAAGGTGTAAGTCAATGGAGTACTACTGCTTTAAGCCCTCAGGTAAATAGAGCTAGTCAGGAAGATACTTGTTGAGGGGAAAAATCACTGAAAGGTTCTGTTTTTTGCATAGTTGTGATTTTAAATAAAATTATTTTGTTAATAGCAAAGGGGGAGACTGTAAACTGCTAAATTTCAATATTAACATTGTCATATTAGCTACTACAATGCGGAAAAATTATACTGTAGAATACATTTGAAGAAAGCCAATAGATGCAATTATTAATTCTTAAGAATCAAACAACATCTACTGCAGAAAATTTCAAAGGCTTGGTGATTTTATCAATCCAAGAAGTATTTTCCGTGCTAAAATTCAGGCTTTATATCTTTCAGACCTTAACTCAGAGAATCATAGAATCACAGGACAGTTTAAACTCAGCACCTTGTTGAGTTTTAAAGATCACCAAGAGTGGAGATGGACCAGCCTCTCTGGATCCTTGTTGCAGGGCTTCACTGTCCCCAGAGTGAAATTTTTTTCCACATAACTAATTGGAATTCACCATGTTCCAGCTTGTGTCTGTTGCCTTTTGTCCTATCACTGTGCATCGCAACAGTCTGTTTCCATCTTCTTTGTATCCTCTATATCCTATTCCTATTTCTGATTTTTTTAAAAAAAGAAGAGCTGACAACTTTTATTCTTTTATACACATTGATTAATGAACAATCCTTTTTATGCTCATTGAAGATTTATTTATTGCAAGTGGAGTTTTAAGCCTGTTTAGAGTATGATAAACTATTCATTTGAACAGTAGTGTGAGGAGATGACTCTTAACTGCTTTTGTATGATCTTTATATGTCATTCATGTCTTGTTTAGGGGTACAATGTAGACACACTAACAATTGACCAAGTAACTCCACTTCATGAAGCCTGCCTGGGAGATCATGTAGGATGTGCAAGAATCCTTCTTGAAGCAGGAGCAAATGTAAGGAATTGATTTTTTGTACATGAAGTCCAGTGCTGACCTTGGTTTAAC